GAAGAAACACAGCTGGAGGTACGGACTCGGACTCCGGTTCTAAGACAGGCCCAGGCACGAAGACCCTGCTCAGAGCTGGCCAGCGTGATGGATGGCCAGGGGGGCCCCGACACAGCACTGGTGGCGAGGAGGGTGCAGGATGCCCGGATGTCCTGTTGTACACGGGGTCGCTATGGTGGGGACTGGCACCTCACGAAAACACACCCCGTGTCCTTGTCCGGTGCCCTCGAGTGGCCTGTGACTCTTGGCGACCCTCTCATGGCACCTCTGAACCCCGCCTCCTTCAGGCTGCCCGGGCTCCTACGACAGGACAGGCACCCCAGGTGTGCGGCTCGGGGTCCAGCTCGGACCACCTCGCGGGAAGCGGAGAACGAAGGGCCGGAGTAAAGGCCCGGAGTCGGGCTTCAGCGCACGGGTGTCCACACTGTGGGGCTGGGGGTGACCCCTGCCCACGGCCTGCTGACGGAGCCTTAGCGCTGGGTGGCTGACAGCTGTCCCCGGCCCACCCCACCCCCCTCCGAGCGGGCGCGGGGCGCACTCACGTGTCCGACACACCTCCTGACCTCCGGTGGAGGGTTCGCGGCCGGCCAGCACCGGCCGGGGTCACTCAGGACCCCTGGCGGGCACGTGGGGACGCTGTGAGGAGGGGCGGGGCCGGGCCCGCTGAGCGCTGACGGGGCGCCGGGGAGGACAGGCCACTGAGGGGCGACATCTGGAGGGAGTGAATCCCCAACAGCCAAGGACCTGGTGCACCAGCTGCTCACGTGGGGGTGGGGGCGGGGCCCCGGAACGCCCGAGAACCCAGGGGCGGGGCTCTCGGCTGAGGGCGGGGCCCCGGAACAACGGAGAACCCAGGGGGCGGGGCTCTAGGCTGGGGGGCGGGACCAGGCTCTCTGCTGGGGGCGGGGCCCCGGAACAACGGAGAACCCAGGGGGCGGGGCTCTCTGAGGGGTGGGCAATCCAGCCCGGTAACTGCGCATGCGCAGGACCTCGTACCCGGGGAGCCCGCCTGCCAGGACAAGGCCACTCAGCTTGGTCACCTGCTTGGGTCCTCGGCGCCTCCTGACACTGCTCCTGCCCAGCCGTCTCCTTCGTGTCCCGGAGAAAAACCTGCGGCCAGGTGGCTGAATCTACCTCAGGCCACCCTAGAGGGCGACCTTGGACAAAGCTCAGCTGTGATCAGCAGCCTCCCTTTTCCTTTGTGTCCAGCCCAGTGAATGCCTCCTCCGGCCTCCATTAAACAGGCTGAGCCGCCCAAAGAAAATGGAAAGATTAGATTGTAGCCAGAGTAACAGGGTGATGTCCGGCCGTGTGATCTCTTTAGCAGTAAACGGTGAGGGCGGGTGTCAGGTGCCCTGAGGTGCCTGCCGTCTGCGTGGGGCAGTGAAGAGGTCTGAGCAGCCGGACAAGGGCTGGAATTGTCCAGATCCTGACTCCACCCTCGGCCCTGGCGGTGGGAAACCAGCCACGGGGCACACTCCACTGCCCAGGAGTTGAAGTCACTCTCCCTGCCTGCCCAGCCCTGGAGTTACCGGGAAGGGACCCCGAAAATGATGCAGAGACCCTCGGCTTCCGGCCTCACTTCTGCAGGATGGCCTGGGTCGTGCGGCTCGGCAGGGAAGGGTAGGAGACCCTGGGCCCCAAAGCCTAGGACACCCCTTAGACTCGTCCTGGATTCCCGGAATTTCCTTTCAGAAGGAGCACTCACAAGCCAGGTGGACTCATAACTTAGTTTAATCCTTTATGAGGGGCATGAGGAAGCCCTGGCGGCCTGGGAGGGTCTGCCTCGGGGTCTCTTCTGACAGCTGGGCTGGTTTCTGCATTGGGCTTCCTGAGCCCCATGTTCCCAGTCAAAAGAAGTTGAGGTTCTGTGTCTTCCACGGAGACTCCACCGGGGCCGGTTCCCCTTACAGCCCTACTGCACAAATAGCCCCACTGCATTGGTCTGAGAAGTCCCCAGAGGCCTGAAGTCCTCGCCTGGCCTGTGCACCATGCAGTGGACCAACAGGTTAGCGGGGCTGGTATGTCCAGGGGTTGACAAGGAGGTGAAGAACCTCAGGGCCCAGGGTCCCACCGGGAAATGTGCTCCTGAGCTGGAAAGAAAGCAGATTGGAGTGAGGGTTGGGGTGGCCCAAGCTTACTGACTCAGGCGCTACTGCATCCCATCCAGCGGCGTCCCCACGTGGGCGCTCCAGGCCACTGCGGCAGGGACTTCTGGGACTGTGGGTTAGCCTTCCTCTGCCCCAAACCACAGATGACTAAATGACTAGAGTGCAGGGAATCTGAGAGCACCAAGAGACCAGACAGGTCCCCAAGCAGCTGCTTTAGTGACAAGAGGTCAGAGACTCTGGAGAAATCGTAGGCCAACCTCCCCAGTCCTGCTGTGCATGAACCTGCTATGCAATGCCAGGCCCATCTTTCACCTTGGGGCCTACGGATGCCTCCTTCACAGCCGCTGTCCTCACACCGGCTCTACACCTGGGCACCCTAGCATCCTGGAGCGGCTCCTAGGTACCCAGAAGTGTGGCAGAGGAGGGGCAAGGGGCTGAAGTGGACAGCAATGGACGGCCCTTACCAAACTGGCAGATATAACGGTTCCTGGTTTTGCAGCGCTGGTCATTCCAGTTGAAGGCGGCCGAGGCTTGCAGCTCCACGCAATTGCCAAAGCTGCCAGGCCAAGATTTTGGGTGGTCAGGTTGGGGAAGTGAAGTGAGGACTTGGGGAGGTCTGCACTACACTCCCTGCCTGCTCCCACAGTCCTTGCCCTGCTCCCCAGGTCTCCAGCAAACCACTGGCCAATGCTGGCACTCAGCCACCCCAGACGGGGCAGTGGGCACTGACGAGCCCCTGTCCTGTTCTGTCCTTCCTGGCAGGAGCCATGGCAGGCCCACACACCCCGGGCCATGGGCTGAGGAGGGCTTCTGAGAAGGAGGGGAAGGAGGAACTGGGATATTTAAGACCTTTGGTGGCAACACAGTTTGACACTTGCATCCCTGCCCTGTGGGCGAGTCCCCCAGGATGGCTGGCTGGCAGGCAGCTGGATGTGTGAATGGATGCAGGTCCAGTGGTGGAGGGCTGGAGGAATGCATTTGTGCAGGTCCCCAGGGAGGTGAGGGCTGGGTGACTGTGGGTCCATGCTGGAGGGCTGATGGGAACAGATAGCTTAACTCCACTGTGGGTTCCCTCTAGCTTAGGTTAGCTCCTGGAAGCCCTGCTTTCTGATTTGCACCCCTTCACCAAGCACGGGGCCTGTGTCCACCTGTGGCTGGATTCCTTGGGCAGCCAGGCCCCAGTAAGGCCCATACTTTCTGGGGCTGAGCCAGGCAGCAGTCTGAGGGGTGCGTCTTCAGTATAGTGCGAAGGCTTCACAAGCAAGTAAGGATGTGGACCCCAGGGGGTACCCCAGACTCACCCCTGGTTGTCAGGCTGTCCAAAGGCAAAGCTGGTGAAGGACTGGTGCTCGCCCGTGGTCCAGCGGAAGGCGTCCTTTGCGGTCTTGTAGGTGAGTCCTGGGACAGGCAGCCATCAGCCCCGATGCCCGGGACCTGAAGTCACTGAGCCCAGGCTCCCAAAAGGAGATCCTGAACCCAGGTCCCCAGGAGGCTGCACTTCCTGCCTTTCCAGCCCCCATCTGAGCCCCCCACCCCAGCAGTTCAGCCTCTGGTGGGAGGGGGACTCCATCCTGAGCTCTGAGCCCTCACCTGACCCTTCAGGTTGGTTGGTAGATGCTCTGGCTTCCCCGTCCCAGGGTTCCTGGAGCAGTGTGAGGACCTCAGCCTCATTACTGTGCCCCCAGTACTCACCAATCCAGAAGTTCTTGGTCTCATAGTCGCTGTCAGTCACCTCGTTGGTGGTCTCTAGGCGGCCCAGGTAGAAGGCGAGGATGTCCTGTACTTTCTGACTCTCGATCCTGGCCAGCACCCCGCCTTTTGCCTGGAACCCCCATCCCAGGTCATGAAGGCAGGGCCCTGGGTTCAGGCAGCCCTTCCCAGCACCCTGCAGCCATGCCTCAGGGAGGGACATGTGCACACCACCAGCCCACAGTCTCCTGCTTCCCAGAGTGGGTGGAGTCCCTGTCCTCTCCTCTCCTCTCCTCTCTTTCCTGCTTGGGGGCCCAGATGGTCAGTATCCAGGTTGGGAGAGAGCTTAGCTGTGTTTGTGTCATGTCTTAAAGCTGTCTGAGTTGTTTGCTAACATTAATAAATCAACAAGGGCTGTAGGAAAATTGGATGATGGTACTCTGGACAAACGCTGTGCTTGCACCCTGAACTTCTGTCCTGTGTGACTCCCTGAAGCTGGACATTATGGGGCCTTCTGGCCGCTGTGGCCCTGAGTTTGTTATCCTTGCCTTGTACTCTGAGACAGTGAGGCCAGGAGAAAGCAAAGAAGCATCTCTTGGGCAGGTTCCCTCATCAATGACCTTACCTGAGATCCTGGGGAGCTCCCCTCACCTGGCAGTTCATCTTGGCTCCATAGTAGGTGTCTGCCTCCGAGGACACCATGAAGCAGTCCCCATCGATCCTCAGGTCACAGGTATGGAAGGGAAAGTGCACCTTGGCTGGGGAGACAGCTGGTCTGTAGAGTGGGCCTCAGAATCACCACCCCTCCCACCCTGCGGAGCGCTGAGGTCAAAGCCCCTGTGCCTGCTCCAGGCTGGAGAGCAGGTGGGGGCCGACAGTGCTGGAAAATGTGTAGTAACCAGCCCTAAATACCAACAGCCGTATTGCAGCATTCACCCAGAGCTGTTGTATAAACACCCTCTCATCACAACTTCAAGTCACCAATATGATATGAGTGCAGGTGGAGCTGGGAAGACAGACGGGCTTCCTACCCTCTGGAGGGGTCCCAGGAGGACTCACTGTCACACTGGGCACCTCCGAAGCCGACCTCACAGACGCAGGAGCACTCCTCTTCCCGGAACTGGCCATGCACACACCCCACGCTGCACCGCACTGCTGGGGACAGGGCGCACTCAGCCTGCTGCACTGACACACTGACTGGCACCCGTGTCTGACCATCCGCAGTCAGAACCCAAGCCACCAGGGTCGCCCAGTGGCTTCTCTGCCAGACATCTTTGATATGATCCCCAGTGCAGAGAGAAGTGAATGAAGGTTTGGGTTTCAGGCCCCTGGTTACAGAGCTACGAAGAGGGAACAGTGGGACAAGAACTCAGTTCTGAGCCAGATCTAACCCTCTAAAGCCCAGCTTAGGGAACACTGTAAGGAAAAGTGTATAGTGTGTAGACTCAGTACTCCGATACACTGCAGAGTGGGACAGCTCCTGTCCAACACACCACACAAATAGGCACATAACATACACACACATGCATGTACCCTCCCACAACACACCACACACAAGTGCGCCCACATTCCACACCACACACATGCATATATATACACACACAGAATTACACACACCTCCCTCACAGACATGTATACACTCTCCCAACACATCACACAGACACACCACAGCATGCATACATATGCTCATAACACACATATACATATACTCTCCAACACCCTGCACACATACTCCTTACAACACACCACGCACACCCCTGACAACACACACCCCACAACACCAGCTGCACAAATGCCACACATGCATACATATGCACAAAGCACACATTCCAGTCTCACACATGCATACACTCACCCACCCTATACACCCCCCACATACGTACATAACACCTCCATCACACATACACACATGCACGTAATAATACACACCCTATATATGCATACACCCTCCTACAACATACACCACACACACACATCAGGCACCCACACACTCCCATCCATATGCACATAACACACACTCTCTCAGAGCTCGGTCTCCTTCCTACTCCAGTGGCTGCCTGTGTCACTGCACACAGCTGGTCCTCTACTCAGGACCCGCCCCACGTCCCTCAGCCCCGCACCTTGACAGTATCGGCCAGTGTAGCCAGGAGGACAATGGCAGTGGCAGGTGCTGACATTGAGGTATCCATGGTTCCGGCAGCTCATGCGGCATGGGTTCCTGGGGACCTCTGGGCAGAGGACAAGGGGACTCCCAGCGGGGGCTGGGAAGGGGCCTCCCCAGAGTGTGGAGGGCCAGGGCTTCCAGGATAGTCCCTCTCCACAGGACACCACCCACTGTCCTGGGAGGAAGCAGGTAGGGTGGGGTGCTTACCACAGAGTCCTCCAGCATGGTCCCAGGCTTTGAAGCAGCCTGAGACGCTGGCTGTGCACAGTGAACACCAGGTGCCCTTCTTATAGGGGACAATCATCTTCCCATTCATCTCCCAGTTGCCTCTGTGAGTGCATGAACCAGGGCCTGGAAAGGTTGGCCTCGGAAAGGGGAGAGAGGAGGGCGGAGGGCAGAGGGCAGAGGAGGGCAGGGGAGGGCAGAGGAGGGGAAGGCAGAAGAAGGGAGGTGGGAGGAGGCCAGTGAAGGGCAGGGGGGAAGGGGAAGGGAGGGCAGGGGAATACAAGGGAGGACAGAGGACAGGAGGGTACAGGGGAGGGGAGGACAGAGTACAGGGGCGCGGAGGGGAGGGGAGAACAGAGGAGAACGTGAGAGTTTAGGGGAGGGGAGAGGAGCCCAGGGGAGGGCAGAGGTGGCCATCCCCCCTCCCCTAGCTCCCTGTGGCCCAGCCAGGAGTCAAGAGAGATAGGGAGGCTTTCTAGGAAGGAAAAGATCAACCCAGACTAACGGGGGTGCACATTCCCTGAACGTGGGCAGCACATCCGAGATGGGGCTTTGGAGGGGAAGCTGCATTCTCCATGGTCAGAATCTTGGGTGCTGTCCACCTCTATACCCCCTTCCCTTCTCTTTTCTTCCTACTCCACCAGGGGTCAGACAAAGGGTCAGAGCTTTTTGGGTGGACAAGTAGAGCCCGGTGCTGTGGAATTATCCCTCCGCGCCCACAGTCACTGGAGCAGAGGGAAGCAGGCTCACCCCGGGGAGTAGGCACACACAAAGGCCTCCATCTCGGCCTGGCCCCCTGAGCAGCGATGCCGCCCGCAGCCCAGCTGGCTTGACGTGGCCCACACGAGCTGCAATTGACAGGAGACTTGTGGGAATCACTGAGTGAAACCACTACCCCCTAAATGGGATCCTGGACAGAGTGAGAAATATGAAACAATACTCAGGACAAAACTGTCTGGAAGTGTGGGTCTAGTAGAGACTGGGAGAACTTCAGAGATAAGCCTGGAACCAATCTCACCCCTGTGGCTCACAAGTCTCTAGGGTGAACAGTAACACCAGGGAGGCAATGGCTCTGTAGGAAACGCAGTCATTCAAAATCAAAAGGGCACCATTTGCCCAGGGAGAAAGCTCAGGAGGCAGAAAGGGCTAGGCTAGAAGGCTGAAAGGAAACACGAGTCACAGGAAGGAAATAGGATGAGTGCTACCACAAGGTGTTAAGACAGAAAAAGAGTTGATTGAGGGCGAGAGAGAAAGAAAGAAACTGGTCCCAAGAAATGAGCAGGCCTTTATTACATAATCTGAGAGGGACGCCACATGACCAGGAGCAGAGAAAGTCAAAATGGCCCATGGCTGTCAAGAGTGGGTTCCTTAAATAGAGGTGTTTAGGGAGGACTAAGGAAGAGGATATTTTTCTTAGAATTTGGGGCTGTTAATTAACTTAGGTTTGGGCTTTTGTGATCAGGCCATTTTGTTATCTGGATCCATTTTTTGGCCTAGTTTTTGGTCTGGTGTTTGTTTTGGTCCCTGCTCTGGTTGCCTTAGATGTTATCAGGTTTCTCAGGGAGTGATGAGGCCTGTGGACAACTGCTACATTCTTCCTCAACAAGGTGCAGAACGTTAAGTAACTTCATGAAGTAAAATCTGCATGAATGACTGAATGGAAAGCCAACGGCTATGGAGCTCTGCTGACCTAGTGTTAAGGAGTTGCGCTGCCAACCTGAAGGCATGCAGTTCAAATCTACTAGTGACTCAGTGGAATAGTCAATTGCTTTGTAAACTTTCAGTCAAAGCACATTTAAAAAAATAATAATAAGAAGAAGAAAAGGAGTCATTCTAGGGGACAGAAAATGAGAAAAAAGCTCCCAAATGACTTTGTGAAATCAGAAAAGCAGCTCTGGAAGCCAGTGTAAGATAAAATGCAGAGGACAATATCACCGTTAAATAATACTTGGTGTTGGTGGTGCTGTGTGCTGTTGGGTCATAACTGACTCATAGCTGACCCTCCAGAGAGTTTTCAGAGGCAGAGACCATGTCAGAGGAGAGTAAATCCTGTGCAGCAGCTGGGAGATTCAAACCGTGTGCCTTTGGGACTATAGTACAGCTTCTTACCACTAGGCCAGCAGAGCTCCTTTAAGCAATACTTAGTAAGCCAAACTGAGCAACGAGTTTAAAATGATACATACACACTCATGATTTCACATCTCAGCCAAGTAAAGAGATGTCATACATAACATTGTTAACCAGCAGGACCCCGGTGCTTGCACTCTGAACAGTGCTAGACTAGAGCTGGGGTCTGGAGCTCCCCAGGAAATGGCAAACACACAGCCACTGTCCCGTGGCATATCACCCTTTCAAGTGTGGCAAAAATGACGGAGCCTGGGAGTGGAGACTGCTTCGCTGCTGGGGTACAGGTGGCGCAGTCAGTTTGGCCATGATTAATAAAATGACAGGTGCCTGTTCCTTCCGGTCCATCATTTCCCTTCCACGGATCTTTCAGAACTGGCCTCAGGGGCCTGGCATCAGTACCTCACCCCACCCTCGCCTGTGAATACTCACCTGCGTGTAGTGGGTGCAGGTGGCATTGGGGGCACACTCCGCTGCTGCATAGCTATACCACTGCCCCTCTGCGAACCACAGGCTGACCACGTCTGTAAAGGACGCTGAGCCCGCGGGCAGCAGCTGCACGTTCCAGCCCACTTGAGGGACATGGCGTAGGGCCGATGCCAGGCTGGGGGCCAGGGCGTCGCAGAGGACTGCTCTGTCCTGAGCCAGCTGGGCCAGGCTCTCGCTCCAGTCCTGGTGGCAGAGAGAGAGGCACTTCTGGGTAAAGGGGAGGAACCTGGTGGACCAGACCTCAAGATTCAGCCCAGCATCCTCCGGGTGTAGAAAAGTGGGGGCTAGATGAGGATGGGCTGGCCGCCCCACCACCACTGAACTGGCTTCCGCACTTCCCAGGGGACAATGAGGGTCAGAGGAGGTGTGGGTGTGCTGATAAACCCAAGGAGGTGGGCACCAACCAGCTGACCCCATCCTCCTGACCCCTACTGTGGGCACTCCCTGCCCAGGGTACCTCGAAGGAGGACAGAGTGAGTTGGCCCACTTAGCAAAATTCTCCTTCTGCTGGATTTTCCCCCAGCTGGGAGCCCTGGACAAGCCTCTCCCTCTGTTGCAGCGTGCCTGGCCTTGGACACTGTCAGAAAGGCTCTGCTCCTTCCTGGCCAGGCCTGGCTTCCTAAACCCCCTGCTGCAGGACTTGGCTGTCAGAGGCAGCCCTCCAGAGCAGGGCCTGAACTTTCCCATCCCCACCCCTGCTGACTGCGCCCACCACACTCCCAACAACAGTCCCTGCTGCTTTTTATTTTTTTTTTTTTGTGTGAGTGTACCGTCAAATCAGATCTGACTGGTACAGGAGGAGATTGCCCCTCCTTCCTAGGCAGAGCATCTGGTGGATTCGAACCGTGCACCTCTGGGATTGTAGATGCAGCTCCTTGCCACTGGGCCACCAGAGCTCCCCTACCTGCTGCTTTTTAAAGCCAGGGGCTCCATGGTCACGGGGACAGTCACCTCACTGCCGCCCAGCCACCCCATTTGTCACCTCCAGGACCCCCTCATCTCCCTGAGACTCAATGTCCTGGTCTGTAAACTGGGGACAGTGAAGAGCCTCGGAAGGAAGACGGTTGAGGGTGGAGGTGGGAGGGAGGAATTAACGGAGGGAGGCCTGAGGCAGATGTGATTTTCTTTCTGATGAAGAGCCCGGGGCCCCTGAGCCCCCCTGTGTATAAAGGACAGATTTCCCCCAGAGCCCCAGCAGTCAGTAGGGGTGGCCAGAGCCTGAGGTGGGACACATGTGTATCTTGTTCTAAAATGCCATCTCCTAAGACTGTTGCTAATCAGCCAGGCGTCTCTGTTCCAGCCTCCCACATCTGCGGTGTTAAGAGCTGGGCGGGTGGGGAGCCTGGTGGCATATTATCAGGCTGTTAACCAAAAGGCTCATAGTTTGAATCCACCAGCTCCTCCATGGGAGAAAGATGGGCATCCCCTGACACAAAGACTTGGAGCCTGGGGGGTGGTGGTGGTGGTGGTGTTTCTGTGGATCAGAACTGACACCATGGCAGAGGGTTTGGATTTTGGGGGGTGGAGAATGGGCAGGTGGAAGACCCTAGCTGGTGCTCCTAGCTGGGCTGAGGAGGGGCAGAATAGCTGCAGGGAAGGGACAGTGGGAGAAGAGATGCCCCTTTCCCATGCCCCTATCCCCATGTCCTGGGAAACTGACCGGGATTTACAGGGTCACTGCCAGCCGCCAGGCCCTTGGGGGAGGCTCTGAGAGGCAGCCATGGGGAACCAGCCTGCCCTCCACTCCCAGGCTGGTGCCTGCTGGGATCCTGGACTAGAGCGGTGGCCTTTCCTAGTCCCAGAGCAACACTCTCAACCCTGCAGCCCTAGTCGGGGAGGGGGGCAGGAACCCACCCCCAGCGCTGCACCCACTGTGGAGTGTGAACTGCTGAATGAGCAGGATCTCAGGAGAGGCCCCTCCTGAAGGCCTGGGTCACCCCCACCCTTACCCGCCCCCAAGCTGGATGCCTCCTTCCCAGTCTCCTGTCCTCTATCCTGCCGGGACTTCTTTGTGAAACTCTTCTGAAGGAGGGGACCCCGCTCCTGCGTGTCTCTGGGTTTCCGTGGTAACAGGACTGAGAGCAGGCCCAGGTTCTGCTCTTCAGGCCTGTGTGAGGCTGAGCTAGAGGCCTCCCCCAGGAGGCATGGTGTCTGCAGTGGCCTCAGAGCCCTCACTCACCATTCTCCGCATGTTGGCTGCAGGCGGGTGGACACGGCTGCGCAGGCGGTTGTGTAGCGAGAGCAGCAAAAAGTCCTCCTTCCGGCTCATGGCTGGGGTGGGAGAGGGGGGGAGGTCATGAGCCCTGGCAAGGCCAGGGCCAGGCTGAAAGCACGGGGGGCAAGGATGGTGGGTGCTTGAGGGAGGATGGGGAGCCAGAGAAGGAGAGACACAGAGGAGAGAGACAGGGACAGAGAGAAGCAAGAAAGAGGAGAGAGACAGAGGAGAGAGACAGGGACAGAGAAGCACAGGAGAGAGACAGAGAAGGAAAGAGACAGGGATGGAGTCAGACAGAGATGCAGAGATCCAGGGATGGAAAGAGAAAGGGATGGAGTCAGACAGAGATGGAGAGAGACAGGGATAGAGAAAAAGAGAGAGAAAGACAAAGATGGGATGAGAGAGACCTGGAGAGGGATGGGACAGAGAAACACTGATGGGGAGAGACAGAGATGAAGGGAGACATGGATAAAGAGAGACGGGGTGGAGAGAGACAAGGACGGAGAGAGACAGAGATGAAGAAAGACAGGGATAGAGAGAGAGAGACAGAGAGACAGCGACGGAGAGAGACTGGACAGAGACAGGGATGAAGAAGGGACCTGGGGTAACAGAAGGTCTGGTGTGAGGGGGGCTGGTCCTTGGCCACTGAGTCTAGTCTGGGGTCCCAATCCCAGGCTCCAGCTGTGCTCCTCACCTCCTTGCCCGCACCCCTTCCTTGTCTACTCATCTCTGGATGTCCTGAGGGCCTCATCATCAAAGCCACCAGCACAGCTGGATCTCAGACCAGTCTCCCCGCCCTCACCCAGGGGCTCCTCACCTCCATTCACCAGAGCCGGCTTCTCCTGCAGCTGGAACGGCTGCACCTCTGCCCAGGTGATGCCAAGGAGAACCAGGAGCACGGGCAGGAGGCTCAGCAAGTGCCAGCTCCCCAGGCCAGGGGCTCGCGCTGGCTGCAGCATGGCCCACTGGGTGCTGGGGACTCAGCGTCCTGTGCTGCCAGGCCCGCAGGCTGGAGCTGCTCACTGCCTCCAGGAGTCAGGCTGGGCTGGGCTGGCAGACAAAGGGGGAGGATGGTGAGTAAGCAGTGTCCAAACAGCCTCCTGTCTGTGGTGCTGGCCTGTGAAGGGACCGACAGCTTCCTCCCAGGTTCACCTCCCTCTCTTGGCCTCTGGCCCGCCCAGTCATCCCCAGCAGAGTGGTGTGCACTGACCCGAGTCCTGCTAATCATTGTAGGATTATTAGCACCCTCGGGGAGCCCCTGGAGACCCTGCTGATTGGCCCACAGACATTCCAGGCCTGGGATTAGTGGGGCCTGGTCTGCTGGCCCTCTGAGTCCTTCCAGAGCCGGTAGTGTGCCCTGCAGACAGGGCAGATCCAGGCAAGCTCTCTGGGGAGTTCTTTCCTTTCCTGGGAACCTCTTCCCAACCTCCAGCTATGAATTAAACATTGGCCGGTAACAGCACACCAGGCAGGTGCCTCTGGAGGCTGCACCTGGGACAGGAGAAAAGTGCCTTTTCCGGCAGCCCTGGCACACCCACCCTCACTCGTCTCACTTTGGGTCAAGAGCAGGCAAGGTGGGCAGAGAGGACAAACAGGAGAGACTGCTGGAGGCCAGCAAGCTCCCAGGGTGCTCTGGGCCCTGCTGAGGCCGGGGAACCCCAATCTTGCCAGCACTGGCCAGAGCCTCCCACACCATGGTTGGTCCAGCTTCTCCTGAGACAGCAGGCCATTCTGGAGGCTACAGCCAGATGCCTACAGATCAAAGGTCACTCCACCATCCTGAAAGCCAGCTTTGCAAGGCAGCTGCTTTCTCCTGCAGGCCTCTGCGTGACTTCTGACCCCTGAGTCAACATCCTTTCGTAGCCAAACATCAACTCCCCAGAAACGGCTGAGATGCCAATGGGTTTTGGCTTAGCCTGGGGGACACACATGGGACCATGATGTCATCGTGAGAACATGGGGTGGGGCAAAGCCATGCACAAAACTACCCCCCCTGACCTGGTGCTGTAGGGCCCCGTGATGCCCACGACCTCAGACGTGGCCTCTCTGACATGGAAAGTCCTCGTGACTTCCATGTCACCATACCCAGCTCTCAGCAATGCCTGTGGCAGAGACAGTCTACTATTTTGGGGGCACATTAATGCCACCTTTACAGTAACTGTGTGTGGTCTCTGGTAAGAGGTCTGTGTCGTGGATGCGTGTCTAAATGAGTTGTTTGGAGGCCACATTGTGAGTGTGGGTTTCCGTGTGCACGTGCCCCTCCTTCAGTTCACATCGTGCATCTTTCTGGGTTCAATTTCCACAGGCCCGAGCTCCGCTGGGTCATGGGACGACCTGGGCTTTGGTGACACATGTGATTAGTTTTCCACATTGCACAAGACCGGGCACAGGAGACAGCAGTGGTGGAACAACTTTCTGTTTTTTAAACTCCAGTGAAAAAGATACACCTGGCAGAATAGATGCCAATTCAACAATTCTGACATGCAGAATGAAATGACATTGATTCCGTACATTCCTCAAGCTGTCCTGCTATTCCTGTGACCCTTCTCCCAGTTACTCACCACCATTAACAGAAACTCTCCACCCTTCTCCATTCCCGTCTCTGATAACTACGAAGCATCTTTAGTGCGTGTGTAAATATGTTTATGTATCTGTTTAGCTATATATAAACATATGTATGTTGCTATAGTTAGGTGTCACTGAAGCGAGTACAACTCACAGTGACCCTATGAACAATGGATCTGAACCTGTCCGATCCTGTCCCAGCCTCATCATTCCTGACACACTCGATCCCACTGCTGCAGTCACCAGGTCCAGCCATCTGCTTGAGGACTTTCCTCTCTTTCATCAATCTTCCACCTTTCCAGGCATGATGTCCTTCTCCAGGGAACAGGCCCTCCTAGCAACATGCCTAAAGTCTGTGAGGCAAAGCTTTGTCATCTTTGTCTCCAGGGAGCCCTCTGGCTGTATATTCTCCAAGACAATCTGCTTGTTCTTCTGGCAGTCCATGCGATATTCAGTACTCTTCTCCAATATCACAACTCAAATGCATTGATTCTTCCTCTGTCAGCTAGCTCTCAGACGCATAGCAAGTGATCATAAAAACCATGGTGGGAATCAAGTGCACCTCAGCCTTCAACTGATACACACAATATCTCGTCATATATACACACATGCATACACACATATACGTGTATACTTATTTCAGTGACATCTTTTGGTATCTGTCCTTGTGAGACTGCCTGACTTCGCTCAGCATGTGGTGGTTTTGGGTTGATCCATGCTGGGCCATGCATCAGGATTCTGCTTCTCTTTATGGCTGGGTGAGACCCCACTGGAGGGACTGTACCACATTTGTTCATTTTCTTGTTTGATGGCAGGTATTCGGTTGTCCCCTCTTACTTACTGTAAAAAGTAGTGCAAGCAAAGAAACCGGGTGCACAGCTGTGTTCCTGTTCCCATGCCTGTCTTCTGGGCATGAAGCACCTTCTGCTGGTTCATCATAGGAGGGCAGCAAGGCATGTCCAGATTCAGCAGCATTAGAAGAGGTGCAACTGGGTGGCTAAAACAAGGGACACTCTCTTCAAGGCATATTTGTCCTTTTGGCAGTCCATGGGATATTCAGTCCTCTTCTTCAACACATCAAAGGCGTCAAAATTCTTCTTTTGTCATCTGTCCAACTTACAGATGCATAACAAGTAACTGGAAAGACCATGGATTGAATCAGATGCACCTTGGTCTTTAAGTTGACATTATTCCTCCTCAACATCACAGAGAGATCCTTGACAGAAAATTTACCCAATGCAATTAATGTTCTGATTTCTTGACTGCTGGTGCTAAGGATTGTGGATCCAAGCAAGATTAAATCATGGGCAATTTCTATGACTGACTGTACTTTAGTTTGAAATGTACCCAAAACAAAATGAATTACTAGATCACACAGTGATGAAAGGATGAGAAGATGCCTAGATAACAGTAATGAAAGGAGGCGTGGAACAAAGGAAGTTTAGTAGGATGTTAAGAGTAGAAGCTGGGAGTCTTGGGAAGTCGGATGTTCACAGTAAAATTATCTCCTTACAGCAAAAAAAATTTGGAGAAGGAGATGATGTGATGTGGCTCAGCTAAAGAACCATCACTTGGATAAAACAATGTGTATAGATTTAATCCCCAAAAAGAAGATAAACCAAATCAAAGGCTGGACGGCAGGTGGGGTGAGAGCTGTTTTCTTCATACCTAGTAGGGAAGATATGAAACTTAAAATGTAGCAGGGTGAGGTTGAATTAAGTAATGAGCAATCACCAGGCACAGTGGCTGTTAAGAGTTCAGTGACCCTTTCTCTTTCCACCATCTTTCCGTGCCGCCACAATGGCGCGCATGAACGTCCTGGCCGACGCTCTCAAGAGCATCAACAACGCCGAGAAGAGAGGCGAGCGCCAGGCTCTCATCAGGCCGTGCTCCAAAGTCATCATTCGGTTCCTGACCATGTTGATGAAACATGGCTACATTGGCGAATTTGAAATCACTGACGATCACAGAGCGGGGAAAAGTGTTGTCAACCTCACAGGCAGGTTAAACAAGTGTGGCGTTCTCAGCCCCAGATTTGATGTGCAGCTCAAAGATCTAGAAAAGTGGCAGAATAATCTGCTCCAGTCCCGTCAGTTAGGTTTCACTGTACTGACAATCTCAGCTGGCATCATGGACCATGAGGAAACAAGATGAAAACACACACGAGGAAAAATCCTGGGATTCTTTTTCTAGAGATGTAATGAACAGTGCAAATAAAATGCCTCAGTGGACAAAAAAAAAAAGAGTTCAGTGACCGATCCTCAGGACCTCTCAGTCTCCAGGGTGGGGTGGATCAAAATTTACATGACTGTAAACCTCACAATCCTATTTAAAATTGTTGGTATTACTTGGACAAAAATTAAACTGAAACCCTAAAAACTGGTCATAAAAAGGCTATTAAGCTACAAGAAAAACAGCCAGTAGACCTTACCTGAGTAGGAGGTCTTAGGTTGGGTTGGACAGTGAGTTATTCCCACTTGGCTCCCTGGGGTGGGGTGCTTCTCTGCAGAGGCTCTGGGCTGCTGAGGATGTGGGAGGGGTCCTCGGCCCTCTAGGCTCTGGATCCTGGCCCGGCCTCAGCCAGGGCTGGGGGCCGTAGGAGGCCAGGGCTGCACCCCGCTGGCCTCTCTTGTTCCTTTCGACTTTTGACAGGCTGGGTGGTCACATCGAAGTCCACCTGAGGGAGAGAAGCATGGCCTGGCCAGGGAAAGAAAATTTACCTCTGGGGTGAGCGCGTCCCTAGGTCACAGGGTGAGAGTTTGTGGTCTGCTTTATCACCTACAGAATGGCTTTAGCGTTTACTAAGAACATGGGGATTGGATATTTCTAATGAAGCATTTCAAAGGGAAGAGGTGGAGCCCACAAGTGAGCATGTTACCAGACCCTGAGCTCCAGTACTAAGATGACTGGGAAAGGAGAGTGAAAACTCACCTTCAAAAGCTATCAATTCATGCAGTATTTGCCGTTTTGGGGCTGTGGTATTTCACTTAGCACGTCTTCCCGACTCATCCATGTTGTGTAGTGTTTTACAAGGTCATTGTCTTTTCAGCTCAGCCTCACAGTCTATAGTGTGTGTGTACCACAGTTTCTCTAATGATTCTTAACTGCAGGGGCCTGAGTCAGATGCTGCCCAGATTTGAAGTGTTGGAGGGTCCCTAACTATATATATCCTTCAATGTGAATACATAGGCAGATGAAAAGGGCATATCCCTTACCCCTTCCAAGGTACCCCAAAGGCAGCATCTTCTCAGTGCCGCATATGCTATAAAGACCACGACATTAACTTCCTCAGGGACATTGGTCCAACTTGGGTTTCAAACTAATCGTGACAGCCATCAATATGAATTGTGCAAACCCTGGTGGGCAGGGAACTTCTAACCTAAAAGTCAGCACT